TTACTACTCTTAGTTTCCTTAACATCTGACGGAGTAGATTTGGCAGCAAGAGTTGTACTGTCAATCAGATTTGTATTCATCATTATATTGCGTCTACTCTCTTCATGTTTGATAGTGGCAATGGCAGAAGATATGGAAGGCAGAGGGGTAATGCCAAGAATTTGACCCCGAGTCTGATCATATTCGGGATTTAAAACAGCCAAGAAGCAATATAGACGTTGCTGATTTATATAGTTATTGTGAAGAGCTGCATCTGCAGCACTCGACCACTTCATCGTTTGATATTGGTCAAGTTCAGACCATCGTCGTTGGAGGTCAGTTGCATAATCTGTGACAGATTGTGAATCTTGCTTAAGATTCGTTGTTTTGATCCATAAGTCATAGACAAAAGCGTCATCTGTAGCAACAGAGTAGGACTGCTGTATGAAATCCCAGATTTCTTTAGCCGAGTCCATGTATAAACATGTACTGCTAATGTTGGGATCCATAGAGTCCCATAACCAGCCCCGTATGTTGGCATTAGTTTTCTCCCAAATAGCAGCATCAATCTCTCCTTCTTCTGGGGTAGAGACAGTGAGACAGTCTTCAAGATCTTTGCCACGTAGGAGAGTGTAAACCAGCTTTGACCATCCAAGATAGTTCCTGCCATTGAGACGGTAAGATGGCGGGATAGAAGGGAGATCAAATTTCTGGTTTCGAAGAGCAAACGCGGCTGCAGTAGCAGCTGAAACAATGGTTGAGTGATCAAGGTTACTTGAGGCTGAATCGGCTTCTTTAGACATGATAAAACCCTTGATGAAGAGACTCCACCGGGAGTTGAAGAGAGAGAAGGGTAGAGACACCCAAAAAATGACCGTTGGAGAGGCGATAGACTCAAAAAAGGCTTAGACGAAACCTAGCTCTGATACCATGAAGTTTTCTGAATATTATTTCCATGAATTCATTTACAAGAAGTACATAAGCTATTTATACAGATAGGAATCCTGAGAGAGTCTATTCAGCACCCTAGGTGACTGTCTAAATACTAAACATAAATGATTGAGAACTGAAAAGACAGCAGCTATTAAATACAACCTGAAGCACTAAAGACACATAATTATAGTAATAATAAGGAAAATAAAACCTAGATTAATGATGTCTCTTCGTTTTATCAACAATATCAACGAAGTTAAGCAATGAGAATGAGAGTTCACTAGGTGATAAAGGTAAATATCAAAGGCTGGTAGGGAAGCTAATCTACGTATCTCACACACGGCTAGACATTATTTTTCTTAGTGAGTGTGGTGAGTCAAATCATGAATGATGAAACAGAGGAACATCTAACGGCAGTCTATAGAATTCTGAGGTGCATGAAAATGACTCCTTCAAAAGGATTGTTGTTCCAAAAACATAGGAAAAGGAAGATTGAAGTGTTTACGGATGCTGACTGGGCTGGAAGCATCTTAGACAGAAGGTCAACTACTGATTACTGTACTTATGTATGGGGTAACTCAGTACCCTGGGGGAGCAAAACACAATCAGTGGTTTCTAGAAGTAGCGCAGAGTCTGAGCTCAGGGCTTTAACACAAGGAATCTTTAAGAATTATGGTTGAGAAGATTGATGAATGAGCTCAAACTTCCATTTGAAAACTCATCCAGATTTCATGTGATAACTAGTCTACTATTAGTATTGCTAAGAATCATGTTCACCATGACAGGACCAAACATGTTGAGATAGATAGACGTTACTTATAAAGAGGATTGCAGCAAAGGGTATCCAGTTGAGCTATGTTAAAACCATAGTTGTTACGGCGGAGTTTTACGGCGCGGCGCCTTCGGACTGCCACACCGACATGGCGATATGGCGCCCATCGTGGCGGAGTCACGGCGATAAGTCGACATATACACTAATAAATTCATAATATGTTTTACATACTAAAAAGCCTATATGTAACACTTATAGTCAACACTACTAATGAAGTAAATCAAGTAATAAAACATGTAATCATAGAAATAACATAATCCATAAGACCATAACCATAAGCCTAAAGCTCATCAAAACAATCACAAACATTATCCATAATCCAAAAACTAGAAAATGGAAATAATATAATCCAACATACAATTCAACATTAAATAGAAATAACAGTTCATCACATAAAATACAACATTAAATTTAAAGCATTCAACAAAATATTAAATTACAATTTTTTTGAGAAATATTAAACAGTCCAACTCTAGAAAAAAATTAAAGCATTAAACAGTTTCATATTTTTTTTGAGAAATATTAAACTGGAGTCATAGAGCTAAAAATATGAATCACATACTCAGTAGGCCACTAGGCCAGTACCCACACACTAAAGTTAAAACTTAAAAGTTAGAATATTTTGAAGCAAAGTAAAACGGCTAAGGGAAACTCGTGCGGCGGAAATACAGCTACGCAAATACGGATTGAAGACGGAAGGGAAGAAGAGTGCAGATAGAAGACTTCACTCGTGCGGTCGTGCGGCCGATTCAGCGTAGATGGGAGTTGGGACTCCCGTTTGGAAACTCGTCGAGCGCAGAGCCGCAGATGGATAGGTCTGTTCTTTTTTAATTAATTCATGCGGCCTGTTCAACTATGGCGTCTCCTATGGCGTCTCCTATGGCGTCTGTGTCGTTCATCCGACGCCACAAGGACGATGCGTCGACGCCGCAAGCTTTATGGCAAGTCGAGAACGTGTGGCGAGCCTCTCCTCACGCCACGACGATGTGGCGACGATAAGACGAAGCCTTGGCGACGCCATGACAACTATGGTTCCAACCAAGCAGCAAATAGGTATTAATGGGGCCATGCCATGGTAGAGGAAATTAATTCCTTGGAACTTAATGGTATTTGGGATTTGGTAAGCCTACATGGATGAAGTCTATTGGATTTAAGTGGGTCTTTTCTACAGGGATGAAATCTATTGGAACCAATACCTGCATCTTTAAATCCTGTCTCCGCATCAGATACTAACCTCTCGAGAGCACTACGTAAATATAAAGCATCTTATACTCGTCCTATTTCTTCATTTGTGTCGTATAGTTAGTTATCCTTTGCCGCATGTTCTTTTATTGCTTCCACTGATTCTTTTTCTATTCCCAGAGCTCTTAAAGAAGCTTTGTCTCATCTTAAATGGGGCCATGCCATGGTAGAGGAAATTAATTCTTTGGAAGTTAATGGTATTTTGTAAGCCTACTGGGATGAAGTTTATTGGATGTAAGTGTCTTTTCTATAAAGGTTAATCCAGACGGATCTATTGCTCGGTTGAATGGTCGATTAGTTGTGAAGGGTTATGCTCAAAACCTAAGGTGTTGATTATTCTGATACCTTTTCTCGTATTGCTAACTTACTACCTGTCAGGTTCACGGTAGTAAAAAACGAGCGCCTGGGCACTTAAATGCACTGGATGTAGCGCACATGAGGCCAGGCGCAGCTCCCTATTGAGGCACAGGTTAGGCACAGAAGCACATAAGTGGTGAAAAGCACACACTTAAGTCGTCTGGGCTAGGAAAGACTTATTGGCCTATTTTTCCTATTTGATCCTACTTTAAGGTGTCTTTTTTCATTATCATCTTCCCATGTTCTTTCTTCTTTCTTTTTCATCTTGTAGTTTGCATTTATTATGTCATCTTCTTGGAGATCCTTTCATTTTGCTTTTTTAGTCTATCTTCTTTCTTTACTTTTATCAGTTCCAGTCATCTATGAATACTTTATAGTTCTTTTTGTTTCTAATGTACATGACCTATTTACATCATATGCACTCTATATTATTGATCTTATTATACAATCTACAACTATATCTTCAAGTTATCATTTCATATTCTAAATGTATAAAAACATCATATAATCGAACTCAATTAATAGTTCATGCATAATATAATTTATGCTACTCCTAATGCTAAACCTGCAAAATCAGACAGACCCCATTGGTGTTTTGTTTTTGCGAACCATGACTGTTTTTTAAAAACATGGCTTTTTAATGCATTTAGTTCAATATAATGTTGAACAAGTCCTATTTGATCACTCTAGAATAGTATACATAATATTTTTTAAATAGTGTGCTTGACCTGAGTTAGGTGAGAGCTTTTTTGCGGTTTGTGCCTCAGGCGATACAAGTATTCTAGCACCTTAAGTGCGTCTCCCGACTTTTACTACCTTGGTCAAGTTACTTATTTCACTCATTGAACCTCATGGTTGGCACTTGCATTAAAAATGCATTCTTGCATTGTGACTTCAAGAGGATGAGAAAGTTTGTCGATTTCGCAAGTTTCTTTATGGCCCGAAACAAAGTTCTCGTGCATGGTGTGGGAAATTCAGTCAATGAATTGAACGGTTTGGAATGATAAAAGGTATAATCAGATCACTCTGTCTTTTAAAGATGAACGACACCGGGTATCACATTGCTTATGGCGTACGTCGATGATACTGTGAATACAGGGAGTGAAAATGTAACTTTCCGGAACTTTGGACGTGATTTTCACTATGGGTCATCCGGAAACCGTCTCTCTGTGCTTTAGTACAGAGGTAAGACTACGTACATCCGAACTCCCTTACCCCACCGTAGGTGGGAGCCTTGGCGGCACTGAGGTAAATGAAAATGAAAATGACAGGTATCTGGGCTCAATGAAATACTTCTCGACTATTGAGGTAACAAAAAGGATTTTCTACATATCGAGGTCGGTTGTCATTTTATTCTAGAGTAGATACAAAAAGGATTTATCTTTATAGGATGTGAAGACTAGAGAACAACTTGGAGATTTGCTCACTAAAGCACTAAATGGTATTCAAGTGCTTATTTGTGTAACAAGTTGGGCATGATGAATATCTATACTCCAACTTGAAGGAGAGTGTGAACGATACTAGAAAATACAGAATGTACTTTCCACTCCAATAATATTTCTAGTTTATACTTTCATCATAGAGCTTCCATATCAATCTCTCAAAAGCATATACCCTTGTGCAATAAACATGAATCAAATATTTGGATGAGTCAAACCTTTGATCTGACACCATTAAGTATTTGTTATCTAATGTTCTTTTGACCCTCTGTGCTGCTTCTCTTGTTTTGAAAATAGCCAAAGCTTGACCTATGGAAAATATAAAAAAAATCAGTTAAATAAATCCACAAATATAAGATGTGCATGTGCATGCAAATGCATGTACACATAATATCCATTTATATGAGGAAGCGGTCAAGGGCCGCCAACTCACTCTCCCTTATGGGAGGTCTCAGGTTTGAAACTCAATGTAGGCAGTTTTAACTCCCTCCCCTGGACCCCCTGGGGTAAAAAAATACATGCACATATACATACACCTATACATATACATATATATTTATGTTCATGTATAGTAATGATTAGTCGTACACAAGTTACCCGCACGGGTAGCTCAGTTGGTCGAGTGGTGGGAAAAATTGGACGTAGACCAAGGTTCGAATCCCGCAGCGGCCAAAAGGGGGTTTTCAGAACCTGAAATAAGGCTGGCCCTCTGGTGCGCACGGGTAAAGGCCTACTGCCGCTTTGCCGACTGAGTCACTGTGATTTACTCCTCCACCATCCTGTCGGGTCGGGGTGGGGGGGCCCTTGGGGTTAGGGATTCAACCTTTTGGACGTAGTCGTACACAAGTTCACTATTAGTAGTAACAATATTGACTTGTCCCTCATTGATTTTATATTTACTAGAGTACCACCTATTTGCAACAAACTACAAAGAGTATCTTTTCAAAAACATTCATACCAGTATTAGGGTTAGAGAAAGCAGTATGCTGGATAATTTTTGCTGAGCATTTCTCCTTAAAGGCATGCCATATTATATCCTGGAAAGCAAAATAATTTAACACAAATAAGAATAAAAGAAAGAAAATGATTACATAGTTGAGCACAAAGATCAATATCAAATGAAGTTAAGAGTGTCTTGAGATAGAAAAAATGGTATAGTATTACCACCACCTAAGAAATCAAAACAGCAGTCATAATATAAAATAAGTCAGCTGCTCAAGCTGACTAATGACCAACAATGTTCATCAAGATTTGAAGCCAAAAACCCTTGAGATATTCCCTAAAGTTTATTTCAAAGAACATCTAAACTTCCAACTAACTTAGCTCTATGATGTACATTGAATATTTAAAAGCTTAGAGAAGTTTTGAAGGGGAGCTAAAATGAGCAACTATTAATTAACAATATCATTTTTGCTACGTTTATCTTGTACACTCCTTTTCTTTTCTTTTTTTGCACACTTCCTTTTGGATACACTTTCTCTATATTTATAGGCTGCATAATGCATATGACTCCATTAGTGAGTGATAAGATCCTCGGAATGAAGAGAGTAATAAAAAGAATATTAGAATAATCACTTAATCAGAATAATCGTGATAGTCTATTAGTGGGTCTCGGGCCAGGTACTAGTTAGCTTTGGGCTGGCCCATAGGTACAAGAATAAATAGAAGCTGGGAGGAGAAAAGAAGGGGGGCAGAAATTAGTTCAGTCTGGGACTTGGGAGTGCGGAAAACTACTCGAAGGGTCTGCATTGTATCTTTCTCTTTTCAGTTTTAATCAATTTCCATCTTAATCTACTTCTATTTACCTTCAAATTCCTGAGTACCGAGTACCTATTATCAGTATCAGAGCACTAGCTCCTGGAGTCTTAATTGATCGCGGAATAGTTATACGCATACAATGCTGAGACACAAACAAACAAAGATGGTCGTTGAGCAGCGCAGGGAACAATGACGGTCAGAACTGGCCGCCTTTGGTTCACGCGGACACCTGGAGAAGCTTCGAACCTGGAGAAGGAGAAGCTCATGCCACATCGAAGATCCGGTCAGAATGCTTCGCACGGAAAACTGAAGAAGCACTCAAGCAGGGAGAACCGCTCGAACCTGGAGAAGTGCGTGAACAAGGAGAAGAGCGTGAAGAGCAAGGAAAAGGTAGAAAGTGATTGGGAAAAAAGTGGAGGATCTGGTTGGACGAGTTTCGCACGGAGCTGCGTCAACAACGTCGCCGGAGACCTAGAGGCCGAACGAGGAGCCCTCCTAGATGCCGTTGGCCAACTGAAAATCAGGTAACACCGTTCATCGCTCTTCCTTCGCAAACGTGAATGGCTTCTTCCAGTTCGCAATCACGAATTTCATCTCCCAGTTCGGTGACTTCATCTCTAGCTTCGTCTAGTTTGCAGTCTGGAACCGTATTGTCTCCTAATTCGTTGCGATCTGTTTCTCCTCGCCTATCTTCATCGCCAGCAGCTTCATCCTGTTGGCCAGCTTCACAGTGAACAATAACTTCTAATTCTCAGATTTCATGGCAAACATATCTCCCGGCTTTGCAGGGTTCATCGCATGCCTCTTCTCACAGTGCTCAAATTTCATCGCTCACCATGAAGTTGAGGCCGGCTGAACCATCAATTAAGGACCCAGGTCCGGATGATGATATGACTCAAACTACCGGATATCTGCCAAATTATCTGGAAGATTTGAAACTACTTGAAGTGGATTAAAATGGAAATCGTTCGGGAAAAGTGGAAGAGCAACCGTCAAGGCAACTGGAGGATCAGATAAAAGTCACAACTACTACAGATGAGGCGAAGAGGGAGTCTACTGTGATCGCAATGAAAGAAAAAGCACTGAATAGGTTTCAGTGGGGGAAGGAGCAGACAACTGTTTGTACCTGGAAGCCTGTGAAGGAGGCAGTTAACGAGACTCAACCAGAATGGGTTCAAAATTCATTTGCACTAATGATTAGCATTTAGCATTGAACGGGTAGGCATAGTATTGAAATTCAGAGATGAAGACAAGAGGGGATGGAAGGAAAAAAGGGGTTGTATGTACAAACCTCAGCACGGTGTGGAAGGATTGAAAGGAAGGACACTTACCAGTAATGTTGAGGGCGGTACAAACCGCCAAGTCTTGCTTTTATGCTGTCGGTATGGTTTTCAGGTTCAGAATGTGGAAGAACCTGGTGGTGTTCAAAATTTAGTTTCCAAGCAGGATGGTACTGTTTCATTCATGAAAAGCTCACCCAATCCAATTTCGTCAAAGCAAAATATGCATGAAATTGCTAATAATTGGCCATTGTTGATAATATGTGCTGATGTTCTAACTATGGTTTGGTTCTATTACTTGAGATGTCACTCTTATGTACATCGGGTGAAGTTCAGATCAGTTGTTCATTCTGTGAGATGCAGTTCTAGAGTTGTTAATGTCCTACCAACAACTCAGATACACTGGTAATGCCGCAGTTTTAGAAAAGGGTGAGGTCAGGAATTCTTTAGGAGCATTTTCTGGGAAAGATAGATGGTGCTTGGATGAAAGTTTGACCAATATCAATTTTGAGACCCACGGTGTTACAGGACTAATATTTGTGCCCAAAGGGTACTGGGTTAACCAAGTTTCTGGTCATGGAGTAGAGGCTGTACATGCAGCAAAAGAAGGTTCTCTTGTGAAATTTGAAATGAACAAGGGATCTCAGCACCAATGTGGGGAATCTCCTGGAGTACAGAAACTGAAATTTCACAAATCATGCATTTCCTTCAGCAGCTTCCCTTTGAGAATTGATACATCTGATCCATTGCCAATCTCTTTGAAAGGAGAGAATTAATTATCTTCTGAAGGGTCAACAAATTCATGTAGGCCCAAGTTCACTTGGTGATTATATTTGCCTCAGAATGTACAAGTTGATGTATTAGACACTGAAGGTTCTGTGGTTGTTCATATTACTGCTGCACAGGCACTCAAACTAAGTTACTTTGTATACACAAGCGTGCTGAAATTAATCCTTTCATCACTTCTGAAGCACCTCAAAGATAAAGCTTGGAGGACAACGCAAAGCGGTGTGCAACTTCTCGGTGCTATTGCTTATTGTGCGCACCAAGAAGTTGTCCCAGTGCATCTCCAAAGTAGTGCCAAAATTAACAAGGGTCTTGACTAACACCGACACTCATCCTAAGGTTCAATCAGCTGGACAAACTGCTCTTCAACAAGTATCTGCTCTTGCGCCTACTCTATTAACAAATCTTAGGGCACCCAATGAAGACACAAAATACTCCTTTAACCTACTCCTTCTTGTAGTTATAGATGGACTGGCCAATGTGCGCACCAAGAGTGAATATGTACGTGATGCTGCACTTGGAGCTAGCCATGTTTTAGTGAAACACCATGCAACAATGCCTTTGCCCTTGCTCCTTCCTGCTGTGGAGGAAGTGTTGATAGAAGTTCAAGTAATGAAACTCAACGTCCAGAAATCAGTGAGATACTGGGAAGGCAGGGGCGCTAGGATGAAGATGAACTTGAAGATCAAGGTCGTTTCCTATCACCCACCTTGAGGATAATGTGGTTGTCCAAGGGGGGAGATATGATAGGATCCTGGGAATGAAGAGAGTAATAATAAGAATATTAGAATAATTACAGTAATTGTGATAGTCTATTAGTGGGTCTTGGGCCAGGTACTAATTAGCTTTGGGCCAGCCCATAAGTAAAAGAATAAATAGAAGCTAGGAGGAGAAAAGAAGGGAGGCAGAAATTAGTTCAATCTGGGACTTGGGGAGTGCGGAAGACTACTCGAAGTGTCTTCATTGTATCTTTCTCTTTTCAGTTTTAATAAATTTTCATCTTAATCTACTTCAATTTACCTTCAAATTCGTGAGTACCTATTGGTGAGAAGGACTAATGATTTTTTTTTTTTTCCATAAGAATGATTGGCAAATTCTTATGTAGTGGTCACAAGTCCGGTTTTACTTTTTTTAGAAGTTTGTGTGCCCTACTAATTACCATGTGGTAAATGAACAATATTCTTCTTGATTTGTTTTCATTTGATTTTCCTTGTTTATAATATCATGTGAAATCTATATGTCATCCGGAAACAATCTCTTTGTGCTTTAGTATAGGGGTAAGATTGTGTACATCTGACCACCCTTACTCCACCGTAGGTGGGAGCCTTTGTGGCCTGGGTAATGATGATGATGATACTATCATGTGAAATGAAATCAGCAAAAGCTTTGATGCACATTGCTCTCGACTTTTCTTAGAGTTTTCTGTTTTCTTTAGTTTTGCATAGCTCATTGAGCTGATCAAATTTGTCTCTTGTATGAGAATCTAGTTTGTAAGTCTACCATCGAATTTGCTACTTCTAGTATTGGACACTCTCCTGGGTATTCTCCTGTTTGACAGTATTGTGTATATCCTATCTTTCTGTCTTTGAGTACAACTCTTTGATTATGTTAGAGTACACTCTTCTATCTCTGGTCACTCTCATGTGAAGTTTATGCCACTTCCCTACTTTTTGTTAGTTGCACTTTCTGCAGTTAAAACACACTCATGTTTCACGAAGGTTACTTTCCTGTCAAGTATACGATCAGTCTCATGTTTTCTCTTTTTGATAAACTTCTTTCTTTATTCTTTTTCTTTATTTTTATTAATCTTTCCTTCTTTTCTAGTTTGGTTGTGATATCATGTATCGATTCATGTTAGCCGACCCCAATATCTTTTGGGACTAAGGCTTGGATGTTGTTGTTGTTGTTCCTTCTTTTCTAGTACTTTTTTTCTTTTTGGTGGTTTTCCTTCTCGCTTCCTATAAAAAAAATAATTAAAAATACAAGGAGCATGATGAGTTTTCTATCATTGACACAATTTTAATCATGGATCATCCGAGAACATGGGTAAGGCTGCGTACATCCGATTCCCCTTTGCGGCTCTGGGGTAAAGTTGTTGTTTTTGTTAAGGAGCATGATGTGTTCTAATAGCCTCATACAAGAGCACCATAAAAAAGAGGGTTCCTAGCACCGGGGAATACTTCAAAAAACATGTTTGCCCTCATTCATACCGAGGACAGACTTTGTAGTTAGCATATACTGTATAAGTCATTTTGTCTATATACACCAGCACAAAATGTAGTGTCAGAACGGACAAATCTGTATCGTGTGGAAATTGCATGCATCATGATTCTCCATTGTAATGTCCCTTACACATATTTGGGTAAACAGACTAATTTCTACTCCTGTTCATAGCTAAATCGTATGCCCTTCATCGGTCTCACAAGACTAAATATTATATATATATAGGTTTTGGTTCAAATAAGAACATGATCTTAGGAGAGAAATGAGAATGAATGAATCTGGACCGTTAGATTTACTTTATGTGAAATTCAATGTGCATTAGATGAAACTGTAATGTGCATTAGGTGAAATTGAAATGTGCAACACAAAAGGTACGATGCAGTGACATTATGTGAAGCTAAATTGTGCATTAGGTGAAACTGAAATGTGCACTAGGTGAAACTGAAATGTGCAAAATAAAAGGTACGACGTGGTGTTATTTTTGTACCTTTTACTCCGCACATTTTCATTTCATCTTATGCACACTCGAGTTTAAATTTTTATTCTGCGCATTTCAATATCATCTAATGCACATTTCAATTTCATCAAATGCACAATTCGGTTCCGCATAATACAATCCAACGATCCAGATTCATTCTCATTTTTCTCCTGGGAGTCCGTTCTTACCGGAACCGCTCCCTATATGTATATATAGATATATATATATATATATATATATATATATATATGTATAATATGTTAAAGCGCGTCTGCTTAAACTCCTTTTAAAGGGATTCCGTCTCACTTGTTTTATTCTTGACGTTACAATGAATTGTAATGAACTCTCACCACATTCCTAAAAGTGTCTGTTGGGTATTCAAGGGTGAAAAAAGGCATCAAATGTTATTCTCTGAAAGATTATTCTTTATATCCACCATGGAAGACCCTTTAAATCTCTTTCTCGATGTTCTTATATCCCACTGTTTCAAGGGGTTTCCAAAAACCCTTTTCCACACACCATCATGACCAATACCACAAACTACATCATCATAATTTTCACTTATAAAACATCAAGAAACTAACAACCTACCCATACACCTCCCTCTCATTTAAACACAGTCCCATATGCTTACCACTTTCGGCCTCGGCCACATCTAAACAGTCAAGATACTGAGGACATACTTTGTAGCTAGCATTATGTATGAGTCATCTTGTCTAAATGCACCAACACAAAACGTAGTGTCAGTATGGACGAACTTGTCAGTATGAAACTGCATGCATCATGATTTTGGGTAAACAGGCTAATTTCTATAGTCTTGTTCATAGCTACATCGCATGCCCTTCATCTGTAATATGCTAGAGCGCATCTGTCACAATTATTTTATTCTTCACGTATCATGAATTGCATTGAACTCTCACCACATTCATAAAAGTGTGTGTTTGTTAGGTATTCTGGGATGAAAAAAGGCTTCAAATGTTATTCTCTGAGAAAATGTTCATCTGCATACCTCGGCTTCTTTGATTCAAGACTTCTTTACATCCACTATAGAAGTCCCTTTAAATATATATCTATACGTTCTTCATATCTATTCCATCATTTGCAATGGAGCCAAAGACTCACTATTTTTTGGCCCGGGAATATGATGGAATAAAGCAAATGAGCTCACTAAACTGTCTGCGCTTCTTTGTTATGAAACAACAGTCAGTTCATGCAATTTTTGACGCGATTTTCACCATGGGTCATCCAGAAACAGTCTCTCTGTGCTTTAGTACAGGGGTAAGACTGCGTACATCCGACCCCTCCTTACCCCACTGTAGGTGGGAGCCTTTGCGGTACTAGGGTAATGATGATGATGATGTCTTCTGATGTCTTCATATCCCATTGTTTCAGGGGGTTTCCAAAAAAACCTTTTCCACACTCTAACACAACCAATACCAGGTACTACATCATCACAATTTTCACTTATAGAACATCAAGAAAACTAACAACCTACCCCGCACACCTCCCTCTCATTTAAATGCAGTCTCATAGGCTTACCATTTAAATGCAGTCTCATAGGCTTACATCTTGAAGGTCAAGTTGATAACTGGCTACACAATTTATAGTTCTAGCCACTCTGCATTCAGAAACAAAAGACCTTGGGAAATTGAAGTATTCTTTGAGGATTGAGGTTGCACAATCCAAATAAGTGAATGGGCATTATCATGAAGAAAATCAGCATTAGATATTCTTGAAGATCTAGGATGGTGAATTGCAAACTGCTTGACACTGCAATGGATACCAATGTCAAACTCCTATCACATCAGGAAGAGCTTTTCTCAAATCCAGAGATAGGAGCTACTAGGAAAATTATGTTATTTGTCGTTAGTTTCGAGAATCATCTTGGCACCCCTTATGAATGTCATCGGGAGGTTATGGCTCAAAGTACATTAAATATCTCTAGGAACTGGTTTGTAATGCAAAGACTATGGGCATCATAATACTGTTGCTTACAAATGCAAATTGGGCAGGATGCGTGTGGGATAGGAAGGTAACATCAGAATATGGTGTCTTCCTTCTAGGGAACTTAATCTCTTCGAAAAGTAAAAAAGCGGAGTGTTGTTGCTAGCTCAAGCGCGGAAGCTGATTATTGATTCATGGCTTCTGGAGCGTGTAGACGTACATTTGAAGAACCTTCTAACCACGCTGAAATGTTGCACAATGGAACTCATGAAGTTCATGTGTAATAATTAACGATGCTCTTCATGTTGCATCGAACCTCATCTTCCACCGAAAGACAAAAACACATCGAGATTGGTTGTCATTTCCTTCGGGAAAGAGTTTATTCATGGGATTGTGCTACTTTTGTGGGCTCGAATGATCAACTAGCTGCATCATCTTCTACAAAACCTCTGCTGCTCTCCTTTTCTTTCATTCTTCTCAGTTTTATGACTATTAATTTATCATGGCTTAAACCAGGAACTTGTTTTTTATTCAATTTCATTGACTCGTGAAACTACGGAGCGTTTCTCATACTTTGCTAATGTGTTTGTAATGTAATTATATGCTTCTAGTCACTTATCTATGATGCTTGAAAGTAGTCTGAATAGCGGTCATCCCGCTATACCATTTTCAGGGCTAGCCGCTACGCTCCGTTATAAGAGATTGACAACACTGTTTAAACGTTACATCAAAGCCATATTACGCTTCTTCCCTAGGGAGCAACTTTCCTGTAAACAAAACTTCATTTCCTTTTTTGTTTCTATACTTCAAGAAAAGAATGATTCCATCATTGTTCCCCTTCACGATTGCGCGAGAAAAGAATTAACACCACCCGTCTGTTTACCATAACCTTTCTTTACCTCTATGGACAACTAACAACTAATGAACAACCAAGTGAAGCAACCACCTCACATCTTTACACATAACTCTATAAATATGACGAGTACCTCTACTTCTGCTGAGATAAATCCAGGGTCCAAATTTTGGAGTAGGACAAGGGTCCCTTGATCATTTGCAGTTTGCATTCTCTCCTCCCACGACTGAACATTAAGTTGAACATATATAAGCTCTAATGCAATGAAAAACATAAAGCACTTTGTAGCATGAATGTATATAGAGTTAAGCTAGGAATTTGTTAATGAAAACTAATTTGACATCAAACTATGAAAGCACTTATAAGAAAGAGAAACACAAAACACATTTCAATGGATATGGATTATTGCTAGACCTTTAAAATTCAGTAAAAATTACTGAGGCAAAACTCTACATAAATATATCCTAGTTATTGCTTGCTTTTATCAGTTTATGATCTGCTATAATCTTGAGAAAATTTTCAAAAATAAAAAAAAAAAAAGAGTGGAAAAACACTTACAAGCTCCTTGAACCATGTGACTGACTCCTGAAATATAAAAAAAAATCCATTACAGCGAGCATACAATGGAATACTCGTAGTAACAAAAATACAAGCATAGACAAATAAAATAAGCACATAAATTTACAATATGCAAGTGATATATACATCGATACAAATTGTGTAGACAAGTAATTAAAGAAAACAAAAATTTCTATAATCTAACAAACAGCTTTCATAATTGTGTAATCGAATATTTCCCAACAGTTTATCACTTTGTGTATGTCATCAAGATTATAATAAGTTTTCAAAATTGCAAGATTTGGAACTTCTATTTCCACTTTGTCCAGCCTACACGAAAAAAATCACTGAAGGGGGAAAAGGCCCGAAGAGCATGTCCAGATCTGATGGTTAATTATTACCACCCATCGCTCAACCAGGAATTAGAACTTAAAGCTATGAAATCTGAAACGGAAACCACTACATTCCAAACATGTGCTAATACACCAAGTTCTGTTTTTATGAAATAGTGAAAATGTAAGCGCGAAGTTTTATAGTAGAAGTATGGTTGTTGTGCTAGATGAAGACTACAATATCGTAATCAATCTCAACTATAAAGCACAACATTTGTTTAATAATTGATATAAGATTGTCAAAATGGTACAATTGAATAATGGAATTTTCAACAACTCAACAACAATAACATCCAATACAATGCTTTAAGAATTGGCATGAGATCATCGGTGGTTTGTTGACGGCTTGAGACAATAGATAACACCCTCAATTAGCAAATTTTTTACACCAGACACACAAATCACATGTAACTTTTTATAAAAATCCAAAGCCCCTAAAAATCTAGCTCTTTTTTTACAAACCAGTAGTTCCTTTTTGGTATTAACAACAGAATTTGGTGTGACAGTGAAAATGAAGGGATGTTACAAACCAATAAAATCCTAACTGGTCAATATTTCATAGATTAAGTGTGAGAGGGAAATTTTGAAGATGAGGAATTCCCATCAGTCACTAATGACTGCACAAAAGTACAAGTACCACCTCAACCACCATTCACGATATTCCCTGGGTCACTGCAAGCAAATAAAATAATACTACGTAGTAGGTACAGCCAACAACTAGACAGCACTCACACCTCCGTCAACAATTTAATGCAATAATAGCCATTTTGTAGTCATAGAAAAAACTACACAATCATTATCTTAGAGAGTAAGTATAAAAAATAGGTGTTGATATACTTGTGTTCCAAACTACTACCCCTGTCGCATTTTACCCGTCTTACTTTCCTTTTTGGGTTGTCCCAAAATAAGTGTCACATTTCCTTTTTTTGGGAAGAAATATGTGATTCACACCGTTTCACTTTGCTATACTCAAATCTCAACCACAACTTTTACCTTTTCAACCACTTTATTAATAATTGTGCCAAGACCAAATGAGACACATAAAAGTGGGCAAGAGGTAGTACAAAATATAAATAAACCGATGAAAACAAGAGAATTAAAATAAACAAATAAATTTCCCTCACCTGTTTCTCAAATTTTTAAAAAAATCCCTCATCGCCTGTTTTTGTAGTTTTATGTTACTTTTCCGGTTTCCCATTTCTCTTACGCAGTTTTCAATTTCTTGTTTTGTATATTTTCTAATTTTCCCGTTCTTATTTAATGTTTTCTAAATCAGGAATACATTTTTCCCTACATATATGTCCAATACCATAATACCATAGATGTGGTGTCGAATCCACATGCAGAGATGGCATTATTGACAGTATCATATTGGTTAATGGCAATGATCAGTGGTATCATCGCCCTTTGTGATCAATGGTACCGGTGTCTCAAAGCAGTAATCAATAACAAATGATAGTAACAATGGTGCCGCTCATTAAGATTGTGTTGGGGTCATCATGATAGGTGAGATAGGTGGGGATGGTATGACAGGTAAACGGGAAAGGATGGGATGAGTGGGACGATGTCAACGATGATGGCCCCAATGGTAACAACAATTACCACCTTTGCATTACCATATACATGTTTGGCTGTTGTGGCAATGGCGCCCATTACCAACTCAAACCAGAAAAGGCAATATGATATTCAACAACAATGTTCAGACCATCAACCATCGCCAATGCTGACAGATATAATCACCTCTTGAAAGGACTGTTATTGATAGGAATCAGGCTTATTAGACTAATAATAGAAATAATAATAATAATAAATTGTGCAGGTAGTATAAATAGAAGGGGAGGGGAGGATTAAGAGGAGGCTGCTATTTATGTTGGGTTGAGACTTGGAGACTGGGCATCTCGAATTGTCCCTAGCTTGTATACCTGCTTTGACTTCCTCTCTACTCAATAAACTCATTGCGATCTGTTCTTAGTTGATTTCTATAAAATTACTACTGTTTTACTGAGATTTCTACCAGTGTCCTATCATTGGTATCAGAGCATAGGATGGATTCGCTGGAGAGGCAGCGGACATCGATGAAGAACTTAACAGACATGAGAACGATGGCAGAAAACATCACCAGAAAGCTAGCTGCGATGGAAGAACACTTCCAGACTAGACGACGATCGTTATTGCCAAGAACGTCCCTCAGTTTGCAGATGCGAACTAATTCTTGCAGATTGTCGCTGACTGAGCAGTTTTCTTCTCAATCGCGAGAAACTTCTTCGAGTTCTCTGGCTTCATCATTGGACTATTCGTTCAGTTCGCAATCCTCGTCGATAGCAGTTTCTCGCAGATCGTCATCGCAAGTGGTTGCTACAAGGTCGAAGGAATGAATGTGTGTGAACAAGGAGGGTGTACAAGTGGGTACAGTTGAGAAGGGTGCTGATAATGATGAGCATTGTGGGTTCTACAACCTTCAGGTTATATATCTTAATGACCTTGGGATTAAAAGGACTTGAAGCTAGCCAGCAGGTATTTTATAAGGACTGATAATGGGGATCAACAACAGGTTGTTTATCAATTAGTAAAAATGTTCCATAATGAGGTGGATTATAATCAATACTTTGGTGGTGGTGTGATGTACTGGAGTCCTTTTCACCCTGTTCAACCGTTCTCATCTATTGGAACACCAAATGGAGATAAAATTGTTCTTGTCAGAGGTCAACAGCATCGACAAGCAAAGGACACGCTGTCAGAAAATTTATGGGAATTCATGTTGACAATGTGGGGCAGCAAGAGGTTTGTAAAGTTAAAATTACATAACTATAGGGATTTGGCATACTGTGTCATCACTCTTCTGCAGAGCAGCAGGTCCACACTCCACACAAGGTTGAAGGATGCCAAAACTTTGAGTTCCCATAGTCACAAGTTCCTGCAACTCATCAAAGACATGGACACACTGATTATGGGGGATGATGGTTGGTTTCTGGAAAATCTGTTTGCAGCAATATCAAAACAGTTAACTATTGCAGATGGAGAAACACAGCACAAAGATTCAAATCCACTTGAACCTTCTCTTGATATGTGTGCGGATGAAGTTGTGTATGAGTTTATCAGTAAGGAACATCCTTCAAGGGAGAAGTTGAAAGCTGTGACACATGCAAGACTTGAGAGGACTAGTAGTGAAGCTACTGAAGCTCACGGTTCAGAAATCATGGAAAGGTAGAAGCACAAGAATGAAGTGAAAGATCATGGTTGATCCCTATCACCCACCTTGAGGACAAGGTGGTTTTTCGGGGGGGGGGGGGGGTATTGATAGGAATCAGGCTTATTAGACTAATAATAGAAATAATAATAATAAATTGTACAGGTAGTAGAAATAGAAGGGGAGGGGAGGATTAAGAGGAGGCTGTTATATTACTTATATCTGTTGGCTCAAGACTGGGCATCTCGAATTGTCCATAGCTTGTATACCAGTTTTGACTTCCTCTCTACTCAATAAACTCATTGCGATCTGTTCTTAGTTGATTTCTATATAATTGCCACTGTTTTACTGAGATTTCTACCAGTGTTCTATCATCAACATACTAGTCATGGCGCATGGCGATTGCCATGGCTCAAAGGCATTTTTCATGGCACATGGCGATGGCGCATATACGAATGGCACATAAAGTGCATATGGCGCTATGGCGACGAACACTTTTTCATGGCGATAGCGCATATGGCGCGCGCCATATCTAGCCATTGACTACTATGATCATCAATGACGATCCTACAATGCCGACACATATAATCAACACTTGAATACCGCTGTCATTATAGACGATCCTTACTGCTTCTGTAGACTCTTGCCATCATAACTGATCAATGTCATCATTGGCAATTTAGCAGCCTCACAATCCTACTATGACAACATATATAATCACCACTTGAATACCACGACCATCGTAGACAATCCCTATTGCTGCTGATAACTCTTGCCATCGCAGGTGATCAATGTCATTGTTGGGCCATTGGCAGCCTCAATGTCATTATTGAATACCACTCGTTCATCACCATCGATCATTCCAGCTCGCCAGTGTGGACGACTGATCTCTTCACTCTCTCTTTTTCTTTTATCTTTTATCTTCTTTATCTTTCTACATTCTTATGTTAATTTTATCTTTTATCTTTCTTACAATCTTTCATCCTTTTACCATTTGTCTTTCTCATGTTCTTATACTACGTATTATTTTTATCTTATATTTATCTTTATCTTGTCCATTTTATCTTATCTTATTTTTTTATTTTTCTTATCTTTCCTTTCTTTTTGGCTTTGAATCCTTTGATATCATTGATCGATTCATTTTAGCCGTCCCAAAAATCTTTTTGGAATAAAGCTTGGATGTTGTTGTTGTTGGCAGCCTCACACTTATCATTGACAATCCTACTATGCCGACACATATAATCACCACTTGAATACCACTGCCATTGTTGGCAATCCCTATTGCTACTGAAGACTCTTGTCATCGTAGGTGATCGATGTCATTATTGGGCCATTGGCAGCCTCGGCTAAAGTAGGCAACCACATAGCTACAAACTGACCAGCACAGCACAACGAGAAACCACCACTACTGAAGAACATTACCACTCATAGCCGCCATGCCCGGACAT